AGAAGGCAGCTTGAACTGTACATTGTTTTATTACAGTTTCTTTGAAAATACATTAGGAGTTTATTTTTTTTTAAGATTTTATTTATTTTTAGAGAGAGGGGAAGGAAAAGAGAAAGAGAGGGAGAGAAATATCAATGTGGGGTTGCCTCTCGCATGCTCCCTGCTGGGGACCTGGCCGGGCAACACAGGCATGTGCCCTGGCTGGGAATTGTACCAGAGACCCTTTAGTTCACAGGCCAGCACTCAATCCACTGAGCTACACCAGCCAGGGAGAAGTTTAATAATAACAACAACAACAATAGTAACATAATAAATTAAAAAGAAGTCCAAGAAGTCTAAATCTCAAAGAAAGGATCTCCTGGAAGCAAAAGGAAGAAACCAGGGAAAGGAGGAGATTCTCACTCCCAAAGTGAGTCAGAATCATCAGGCAGGAGACCCAGAAATTTGCATTTTGACTAGCTCTGCTGGGGATTCTTATATACCCTGAGAGACTGTACCTAAATGAAATGCACGCAAAATGGATGGAATTAATCTTGGGCCTTCTACTTTGGGATTTCAATAGAGTTGGCCAATAAAATTCAGGGGACTCCCTAACTCTAAAACAAAACTCATATGGTAGAGAGTATCCAATCAGATACAACACGTTTCCCTATCACAAAATTCACAGTGCATTTCAGTTAATACTGTGAACAGCCTTGTGATGGAAGTGTAGAGTTTAAGTTACTTTGTGAAGATCCCACAGCTAGTGAGCCACACAAATGTGATCTGAACCAGGGCTTCTGATCACCGGGCCAGTGCTCTTTGCCACTGCGCTGTTGAAAATGATTGGGTTATGGGTGAAATGGAGTTTCAAGGAAAAAAAGAGAATCAAAAACATACAATCTCTAAAAACACTGAGATACTCTTTCTTATCCGACACTGATAAAAATGAGAAATTCTGACTATCAGTGTCACTAAAGGTGTCGAGATATGAGAACTCTTATAAGCCTGCAGGAAGGTGTATAAACCGAAGCCATCAATTTGGGGAGAAATTTGCCAGTACCTAGTAAAGCTAAAGATGCATATACCTTCGGTTTATGATCCAGACACTCTGTCACATGTGTCCTGTATATATATTGCAGCAATCTTGTGATAAAAGGCAGATCCAGTTTTGTGTGTCTTGAGACTTTACATAAATGAGGAGGTTCTCTTCAAGGAAAATGATACAAAAGTACAAATATTAAATATTTCTTTAGAATGAGGGAAGTAGTTACAAGAAACTTTTAGAGCCTTGGAAATCCATGTCCCTTTATTCTGAGTTCCTTTAGAAATGCTTCCGACTGCCTCTCTTCTCACTCTCCAACTCCCAGTACTGCGGGGGAGAGCGGTGGTAAGGAATTGGGAGGTGGTAAGGGAACAAATACGTGCAAATAAGGGACTTTGAGTTTAACTTTCATCAGCTTCATGGTAAAGCCACCTCACAACAGCCCAAATAACTATCAGAATGAGAGTGAATAAATTGTGGTACATTCATATAATGGAATATTGAAAAGAATGAACTGGAGCTACATGAACAGATCTCAAAAAAATAAATTTGAGTTGTAGAATACTATATAGAAAGATACCACTTATTTAAAGTTTAAAATATACAAACAAGACACTGTTTATATATACATACATTTATATATACATATATGTACATGTGTGTATATGTATGTATGTGTGTATAAAATTATAATAATATGGAAGGAAATGATAACCTCTGAATTCCAGACAGTAGTTTCCTCTATCCAGAAGGAAAGGAGAAAAATGCAGAGGGGTACAGAGGAGATTCATTTTATCTGGATTTTATTTTTCCTTGAAATAAAAGAGAAAGATCTGAAAGAGATGTGACAAAATATTAAGATTGGATTCGACAAACCTAGGTGGTGACTATGAAGTGTTATTGCATGATCCTCTAAACTCATCTATATGCAGGAAATAGTTCATAGGTTTTACAAAGAAAGAGTGTCATTTGCACTACCAGGAAAACAGGATACTTTAATTCTCACAACAGACCTGATTCCTCTATTTTTAATATTTAATTTATATTTTTATTGAAGTGTATGTAAGTAACATGCACAGCTCAAGCAATGTTTACATATGTGAGCCAGGTAAGCCCACCTCCACCATTATACAGAATGCTTGCCACTCCCTGCATCGCACACAGTTCCCCCTTTACAAGCTAATACTCATCCTCTGGTCTTGGCTTAGATGTCACTTCCTCTAGCAAAATTGCCTTGCTCCCCCAAGACTTGGTGACTACTACTCTCCCGTGCTTATGGCTTTAATTCACCATTTATTTGTCAGCTTCTCTTTCTAGATTATGAGTTGCTTCTCTGAATAATACAAATTACAAATGTGACTTCTTTTTTCTGCTCTGAGCATGTGCCTTTCCATTTTCTGAGATAAATTGTACCCACCATTGTTAGCTATTTCAGAGAAAACCAAGATCCATTCCTTTTCCACACCTAACGTCTCCATAATTTCTGTGTCAACTATTATGTTCCTCTATACTCTGAGGTCATAACCTTGAAATCAAGTTTTAGGTGTTGACCATTTCATGAGTAAATTCAAGCTTAATGAAAACCCTGAACAGAGTTATATTCCACGACCACATGGGGTATTAGAGTAATGCCTGCCTTTTAGAAGCCCTGAGGTTTGCAAGGGAAACTGAACCCTGTCGTGAGCCTGATTAAAACCTTCCCCAAAGCTGATGAGTAATGCCAAAACTGTTCAATCCACAGATCTAAAGTATCAAAAGGTAACAGTAAGGATGTTTCACTTCTGTTCCTCATACCAAGGACACTTCAGAGAATCTCCTGGATCATAGACAGCCTTGGAGCCATTCTAAAGAAAGCAAGTTCTCTTTGTGCTGCAGAGGGAGCAACTGGAGCGTTGTTTAATCACTGGAGTTTAATCACCTGTTGGTGGATAAGAAAACGGACTCTGGTGCCAGACTTCCTATATCAATAGGACAAACATGAAACCTTTCTGAGCTTCAGTTTTTCATTTGGAAACTGGGGATGGTGATGCTACCCTGCTTCAGAGGACTACTGTAAAGACTAAATAAGTTAATGTGTAAAGAACTCCTGGCACATAGCAGTCTATAGCACTAGTAATCGTTACTGACATGGTAATATATTGATTTTGGAAAGATCATTCTGGTTATTGTCTGATGGATGATGATTCTAAAACAGGAAGTGTCATTCCAGCATTGAAAACAAAATAAGATGATATGCACTGGCTGAGTGGCTCAGTTGGATGGAGTGTCATCCCATGCACCAAAAGATGGTGACTTTGATCCCTGGTCAGGGCACATACCTAGGTTGTGAGTTTGATTCCTGGTCAGGACACATACAAGAGGCAGCTGATTGATGTTCTTTCTCTCTCCTCTCTCTCTCTCTCACTGTCTAATTGATGAAAGTATCCTCGGGTGAAGATTTAAAAATTTTTAATTAAAAATAAGATGATGTGATTTAATACAGAAAATGCTCTAGGTAGGAAGTGAGTCAACTGGTCTCTACTTTTGGTCCCTTGGATGAGGTAGGTCTGTTTACAGAGATTTGAACTGGGAACCACGTCATTTCTGTGAACCCCAAGTTGTCTCATTCCCTAGGTTTTGTAACCAGTACGTTGAAGGCATATTTTTATAAAAGGTCCACAGCTACATAATTCTGAAGGCATTTGGCAGGAAGTTTCTGCATTTGTTTTCTCAAGGTTCAAAAACTGCCCAAGAACTGTGATATTTTCATGGGATATATTTTCTAGTCTATCTTGAGAACAATTTTACAATTCTTCCAGACTATTTATCCTCCTGGCAACCTTTTCCACTCATCTTCTGGTATGAAATCCTCTTTCTTACATCCCAAACTGGCTAAGTTAGGATCCTCCTCAAAAACTCAGCTTAATTATTTCCTCCTCTAAACTACCACTCCCCTTGTGTGCACTTGCATGTACTTCTTGGTTTATGTTGCAATGATCTGTTTTCTTGCCAGTGTTCATCTCTAGGCCATGAGCTCTTTGATGGAAGGAACCACGATTTTATTTACCATCTTGAAACACTGCGTGGCATAATAGTTTAGTACATGGAGCCAGAATTTGGAGGTTAAATCTCACACTTACAGGCTGTATATCTTTGAGCAACTCATTTAACTTTCCTGTGCCTAAGTTCCCTTATTTGTAAAATTGGCATAATAGTAGTGGCAAATTTAGGTAACTAGCCCTTACTTCTTTTAATTAGAAACCTTTTCGTGACTGTCACTGAGTTACAGGGGGGGAAAAAAAGAAAACTTTGGATGCATTTTAAAGGTAGTCTAATATATAAAAGGGTCAAGGTTTCCAGGTAAAACAAATGCAAATAACTGTGTTGGGGGGAAAAAGAGACTTGCAGATTCTGGCAGGCTATGCCAGACATCCTACCAGTTTCTCTCCATCATCGTGACACTGTGTGCCTTCTCTAACTCCCATAATATTCAAGGTTTCTTCAGTTACTCTTACTTGCGAGACGGCTACCTGCCCGGGCCATGCCTGGCATCCCACACTTAGGCTCTGCCAGGCAACTGATCCCCCTTTTATGTCACCGTCTGTGTGTACATGTTCGATACCACACGACCGTCTCTGTGCTCAGAACTCCGGAACGACTGATAACCAGCCTCAAGCTAATTTTCTCAACAACTTAAATCTCCTTTTGGACGTTTTCCCACGTCACCAGTCACTCTTTGCCTCTCAGAGTTCCTTAGCATCACCTGTAACCTTTAGAAATTAAGACACTCAGACCCCGCCCTTCGTGGGCTCCGTAATTACTTCGGCCAACAAACTCCTAGGACCTTAAAGCCTTGGCTCCGCCCCATTTTAGCTACTGGCCCCGCCCCTTCCTCCACTCCGCCTTCCCTTTAAACTAAAGTCCCGGGTGCACCTGGCTCTCTGCCTCCTCGTAGCGTGATGACGTTTGGGCGTGGTGACGTAGCGGCTGCGTGCGTTTCGGCCGCGGTGGCGGGGAAGGGAGTGGGTTTAGAAACATCGCGCGTCGGTGGTGTGCCCGGGCCACCTGAGGCACGTGGCTTTCTTACGGTTCAGGCCGCTGAGTGTGTTGTCTGCGGTCTGCCCCCTCGGGGAGAGGAAAACAGAGAGGTTCTTTGGGGGACAGAGCTGGAGCTCGTAAAGAGGAAGGGAGCAACCGGGGGCTTTAAAGCTCCTGACGGCAGGCCTGCCGCCGGGAATCGTGGAGCAACTGAGAGGGCACGGTCCCGGCAGCCAGAGTGCGCCCCCCTAGGATCTGGGCTGGTGCGGAGGAGGGAGGGCCTGAGCCACCCGCGCGATGTTCGGGGCCTGGCGCCTGCTCCGAGTCCTGCGCTCCTGTTCCTCTGCCCCCTGCCCGAGACCCAAGCCTGCAGCCAAACTGAGCGTGCGGGAAGCTCTCAGGGCCCAGAACTCGAATGGGGAGCGCGTTAAGGTTCAGGTTGGTGTATGGGAAGGGTTTTTTTGGTTAGTTTGTTTTTTGGGTTTTTTTTTTTTTTGGTTTTCTTTTTAGTGACTTTTTGGTTTTCTTTTTAGTGACTTATATGACACATCCACGTCTAGGCTTGGCTTGTACTGTCAGGTCAGAACGGCTGGCAGGGAAAAGTTAGAAAATGCAGGCAGTCGTGTGCATTCACACTTTCCTCCTTTCATTGGCTTCTGTATTTGCAACTTGTGACGCCTATAAAACGCTGGAAATTTGCTTTCACGGTACTACGGCATTACCTATAAACTTGGTCATTGTACAGCAAAGTAAACGAAGAAGTCCCATTTCCTTTAGTCCTTGTAATTAATAATCCACAATTATATGCCGGTTGTCTTGAGCTAGCTCTTTGAGAGCAGAAAATATGTCTTACCTGTTTTGGTATTCACACATGGTTGACTGTAAATATTTGTTCAACTAAATCATACCTTTCACTCGACCACAGTGCCTAACCTGAGGCTTTGCATGTAACATGTTTAATCAACTAGGAAAAAGAGTGGAGCGTAGCAGCTTGAAAGCTCTGGAGTCAAGCTGCTTATGTGTGACTCTCATTATGGGGCATGTTACGTGCCCTAACCCTCAGTTTCCTCTTATTAAAATGAAGGTGATAACAGGTATAAGACAGAACAGTGGTCCATATAAAATTATATATGCATGTGAGTGAACTAAAAGCAATTGATTTGTTAAGTCAGGATTATGAGGACATTTTTTCTCTTGGCTTCATGTAGTCTGCTATGTGTATGTGTAATGAAAATGTAAAATGTTTACATGTTTTAAACTCACATTTAGAAATATTTCTCTTCATTAGGGATGGATTCGTTCAGTCCGATCCCAGAAGGAAGTCTTGTTCCTGCATGTAAATGATGGGTCCTCTTTGGAAAGCCTTCAGGTTGTAGCAGATTCAAACTTTGACAGTAGGTGAGTTAAAAAAAAAAAAAAGTGAGTCCTTTGACTGTTTTTCATCTTTTCTGCCTCCCATTTCCCTAATCCAGCATTCACATTGTACCCTGCATGGTCTTTCTAAACAAATCTGCTTTTCATAATTTTGAGGTTCAAGTCCAAATACTTAAAATCAAGATCCTTCAAGCTCAGGCCTTTCCTCCTCTGTCAGACATATTCATGTGACAATATTCCCACCTATCCTTTGCTTCAGTCTTTCTTAACTATCTGCAGCTTTTTACCTAATTAAAGGTAAAAACTCCTATCATTAAATATTTTAATGTCCTTATAGCAAGGTTTGTATGAAAATGAGGGTTGTGTATAATGATATTTTGTTTATTCTGTGTTGTTACTATAGAGAACTGGCTTTTGGGAGCTCTGTGGAAGTTCATGGAAAGTTGGTAAAAAGTCCAGCCAAAAGACAAAATGTGGAGCTGAAAGCAGAAAAGATTGAAGTTGTTGGCAATTGTGACCCCAAGGTATGTTTTCTGCCACTTTAATGGAGGCTGTTTAGGCTTAATTTAAAACATTAGCAATTTGTTTTAGGTGTGATTATTGGGAAGAATGCGCTTAGAATGTGTTTTGATTGTGGCTTCCCACGTCATTGAAACAGGCAGTAGAGCCCAAGGAATGTAGAGAGAGTAGCAAAAAGTATCTGTGTAGACGGATGAGTGTTCTGAGTGAGAGCTAAGTTTTACTCTGTGCATCTCTGTCACAGTTGAAAGTTGCCACTTTTACAAGCATGCCCAATGACAGAGACATACCAGGGCAGACCATGTTCTAAGGAAAGTTCTGTCTAGAAGTGACTTGCATGACCTGGAACTGTTATGTCCAATACAGTAGCCATTAGCCACCTGTAGCTGTTTAATATTAAATTAGTTAAAATTAAATAAAAAACTCCATTCCTTTGAGTCATGAGCCATATTTCAAGTCTTCAGTGGTCATATGCAACTAGTGGCTACCATACTGGAGAGCACAGATACAGAATATTTCCATTTCTCATAGAAAATTCAACTGGACAGTGCTAGAGTGTTGTAATTCTTGACTGAACAAAGAAATTCTACATTAAGACATGTTTGTACCTGTTTTTGCAAGACTTTTCTGTTAGTAGCTTTTTATTTGTAGCCTGATGAAGAGGTTAGCAGGAATAAAGGAATAGATTATCAATCTAATTTAATTTTTTTTTAACTTTTCAAAAAATTTCTTCAGTTGGAGAAAATGAGGCCCAGCCAGGTGAAATACTTGCCCAAGGTGATACAGCTGATTCATGGCACAGCTGAAATTGACATATGTAGTAGCTGTTTGACTCCCTGTGGTTTATAGATACTCATCTTTAAGTGTTTAGTGAACAAAAAAATAAGGAAATATAGAGAAATTGAATTATTTTAATTCATTTTTAGTTTTTTGGGATAACTGAAAAATTAAATATAGGCAATAAGAAGAAAACAGGCAGTTTCTTAAATGTGTCATTTTGAATAATTTTCTAAGAAATTCTAATTGACAAGTAAAATCAAGAATCAGGTTCTGAGATATCTGAAAAAGAAACTGAAAATATTTGGAACTCAGAAAGGAATGGAGACAGTAACCATTGTTGTTTTTCCTTTTTTAGAGGGATATATGGCTATTAAAAATTTACTGTGTTTTAAATTGTTCTCCCTTTGTTTGTGTGGATGTTGATAACTTTCACCTTCTCATTCCCTTCATTTCAGTGTTATTTATAAGTACTCAGACATTAGGGAATTCTGAACCACTTAACAGTTTCCAAATTCCTGTTAATGTGGTCATATTTTTCACTTTGGTAAGTGGGGTGCTTATTTCTGTACAACGTAAATTAATATATACACAAGGCCTAAAAGGAATAGACAAGTCTAAAAAGGCTACCAGGGTAGCTTTTTCACTTAGCTTCTTTGTTATCTTTTTATTGAAACTTTGAATTTGGTCTGAAAGTTTGTTTCTGTCTTCTTAATCTTGTAACACCAGTGTGAGTCAGGTGGAAATACTTCTAGGTAGATTCATAATTTTCTTTAAATTTTCTGCTAGATGACAGAAAGTTGTTGACCATTCATATTGTTAGGTAGTAGTGCATGCTGGTAAACAGTGATTAACCTGTCAATTAATTGTGAATGATTGTGGACTTTCAAGACATTTGGGTGATTTAAAAATTAAGTACCAGCTGTATGTAAACAACTGTAGAAAACAATCTTTAATATGTACAATATTCTAAACTACTCTGTGCCAAACACTGGACTATTTTGCATAATTATATCCTAATCTCTCTACTCATAAGTAGTGGTTGATAGCTGACAGACAGAAATTTGGTAAATAACAGATTAGCCTCAAAGACATTAAGTGCACTTGCCCATGGTTTCATAGCTAGTAAGTAGTAGAGCAGAATTAAAAATTACATCTCTCTGATTCCACCTCCACCATTCTACTAACTCATTGGAATTAATATGGACTATATTCAGTTATATTAAGAAATAAAGAAGGAAAACATCTTAGTTTTGTTCTAAAGCACTGCTATTTTAAAAATGCCCTGGAAACTACCTTGTTAGCTTCTAATTTTTTTTTTAATTTATTGGCAGGATTTCCCTTTTAAATATAAAGAGAGGCCTCCTCTGGAGTATCTAAGACAATTTCCTCACCTTAGGTGTAGGACTAATGCCTTGGGTTCTATACTGAGGGTTCGCAGTGAAGCCACAGCTGCTATTCATTCTTTCTTTAAGGTAAGGTGTTTTGCTTCTTAGTGTTCTGTCTTGTAAAGAAATTGTATAATTATAACACTGGAATATTATCCTGCAGGTTCTGTTAGTTATTCCAAGCACCCTTTACCCTTTACTATCATGGTATTTTTCTTTCTTTCTTTTTTTTATTGATTTTAACTTTTCTCTCTCATTTTTAAAAAGATTTTATTTATTTAGTTTTTAGAGAGAGGGGTATGGAGGGAGAAAGAGAGAAACATCAGTGTGTGGTTGCCTCTTCGGGGCCCCTGCTGGGGGCCTGGCCTGCAACCCAGGCATGTGCCCTCACGGGGAATCGAACCAGCAACCCTTTGATTCTCAGGCTGAGCCACACCAGACAGGCTAAATTTTCTTTTTGATTCTGAGCAATTTAATTATGATGTGTCTTGGCACATGACACATCATGATTATGATGTGTCTTGGCATATGATTTCTTTTGTGGTTGGAGTTTGTTGAGTTTCTTAGATCTATTTTTTATTTTCATCAACTTTTTTATGTTATTATGTTTTCAAATATTTTTTATGTTTCTTCCATCCTTTGGGGACTTCAGCTACCCAAATATTAGGCTACATGATGGTATTCCCAGAGCTCACTGATGCTCTTTTATTTTTAAAAATTCTTTTTTTCTTTGTGTTTTTCTTTTGGATAATTTCTGTTGCTGTGTCATTGAATTTGGTTTTTTTTTACAACATTTAATTTGTTGTTATTTCTATCCAGTGCATTTTTCATCTCACACATTTTAGGTTTCATATCTAGATGTTTGATTTGGACCTTCTTAAAAAATGTATTCCATTTCTCTACTTAATTTTGAACATATTCAATATGGTTTTGAACATATACAATGCAGTAAAAATACTGTTTTTATGTCTTTTTTTCTAATTTTAACATATCTGTCAGGAGTCAGTTTGGATTTATTAATCTCCTCATTATGGATTATGTTTCCCTTCCTCTTTGTATACCTGCTGCAAATCTTTGATTAGGTGCCAGACATTGTGAATTTTAAGCTGCTTAAGCTTTGTTCTGGTATGCAGTTATTTGAAAACTGTTTGATCCTTCGTGTCCTGGCTTTAAGTATTCTGGAGAAGTTCTCAGTCTAGAAGTAATTATTCCCCACTACTGAGCCAAAGCCTTCCTGAGCACCTAGTGCCTTGTGAATTAGTGGTTTTTTTCAGTCTGGCTTGTGGGTTCAGGCAAGGCTTCCAGCCACATGTGAGCACAAGGCACTGTTTTCCGGTCTTTTTGGGTGGTGCTTTTTGTGCCCTTGGTTGGTTTCCTCACAAGCATAGGCTTGATCACTCCTCTACTCAGGTGTCAAACTCATTTTCACCAGGAGCCACATTAGCTTCGCAGTTGCCTTCAAAGGGCCGAATGTAATTTTAGGACTGTATAAATGTAACTACTCCTTAACAGTTAAGCAGGAGCTCGGCACTGTAGCCAGGTACAAACAAGGTGCCTGGAAGGGTTTGGCCTGTGGGCCTTGTGTTTGCCACCTGTGCTCTACCTAATGCTGCTGCATGTGACCCTCTACCCATCTCTGGAGTTTTCTGCACATCTCTGGAGCTCTTTCCTCTCTGGTACTCTGTCTTGAATTTTAGTCACTTTGGTCTCCTGAGACTCTTAGCTCCATCTCCTCAACACAGGGACTCTGCTGGGCTCCACTTTATCACCCCACTCTCCTTGCTATGGCTTGGAAAATCTCAAGGCAGTAAGCTGGGCTGCTGAAGCGGTTCACTATGTTTGTTTCCCGTCTTCCAAGATCACTGTCCTGTGTTGTCTGGTATTTAGTATCTTGAAAACCATTCTTTCATGTGTTTGCTTGTAGGGGTTTTTTGTTGTTGTTCTGTTTTTGTCTTGTTTCAGTTAGAGTAAATCTGGTCCCTATTTTTCCAATTTGGTCATAGACATACTATAGACATGCACACATACTGTATATATACTATATGTATATATGCACCATATATATTATATATGGTATATTTATATAGTATACATAGTATTTATATATAATATATGTAAATAGTAATTAAAATTTCAAAGAGGTGTTGATCGAGTAGATTGATCTAATGATTAAAGGCATTTTGTCTTATTTAGTTTTGCTTTTCCACCATTTCCCCCAACCTGGGAAAGCTGCAGTGGAATGTACAATGGTTGGTAAGTTGATGAGGTGAAGGGACCTCCCCTTCATGTGGATGGAGCTTGGGGGGGCAACAGCAAGGAGTGACCCAGAACATAAAGTTCAGTGTGATTCTGTGTGATTTTGGTACTCTTCCTATGGCACTTCTCCAGATCCAGCTAGTGTGCAGAGGTTGTTTAATGTATACCCTTCCCTCTGTCCAAAGTCATGTGGACCCACCTGTTGCAGCAGATAAGAGAGTTCTTGGTTTTTGAAAAGTTCCTTCAGAGTTGATTTCTGGAAAAATGGCAAAAGAACGGCTTTAAAGCATATACTGTACTCTTGAATAAACGAAAATAAATCACATTATACAGCATCACCCCATTCCAGTTTGAAAGGGGGCATTTACATATGGCCTCATAAACTTTCTTATGCAGCGTCCATATGGCCTTTCAGTAGTGCTTGAACCACACAAACAGAAAATTTGTTCAGATCTGAAAATGTTTTCCCTCATTTGGCCTTAACAGCGGAGAAAGAGGACCTATACTAACTCTGAAGTAGTTTTACACGTTTCTGGCCACCAGGTGGTGGTATTCGCAGTCCGTTGACTAGTGGGCTTTACCTTTTTTCTGCATTTCTTTGTTACATGAAGCTTTTGCAGATATGTAAACAATTAAAAAAAATAAGGGAAGAAATTAGGAATTCTAAAGTCAAAAAATAAGGAAAATAAAATTAAAAAGAAACACTTTAAATGGTTGAAAATAAATTTTAACACTCGGTGATCATTACAAAATAGGTACTTTTTTTGAGTGCTGTAAATTCACATTTTAATTGTATAGACCTGGAAAATATAATCCAACTTCTATAATGTTACCCAATTGTATGTGTGACAGTTAGGATTGAATTGTTTACAAAGATCAGAGGAGAGCTACATGACATATTAAATAATTGTTATATATTATCTAGTATTTGGTACTTCAGGGTCTGGCAAAGTAATGCCTACTTAAGTGTGGTTGGTAAGGTAATAATATGGGTGTAATAATTTATAGTTTTAATTTGAACATTTCACCTAAAATGTCATATGGTGTGCTCGAGTGGGATATTACATGCTTATTATTTTGTAATAAAAGATTTTGTAATAAATCAGGGGTGTTATTTGTGCCAGACCCTACATTTCTATGAGTTGTGACTATAGGCTCTCTAAAAGATGTTAGGACTTAAAATGTAAACTCTTCATAAATTTCAAATCTAGAAATACAGAAAAAATAAACTTGAGCAATACCTTTTAATTAGGATACTTTAAGCTTCTAGAGTTACTGTTTTGGTTTGAGTATCAAAAATGTTTTGTGTATAACTTGGTTTGCTCATAAAATTGACACATTTGCTATGAACTAAAAACTGGCTATCTACAATCCTCAAGGAATGAGTCATTAAGAAGAGCTGAGTTTCTCAAATAACAGGATTATCTGTTCAGGCACCAAATTTTCTAAATTCCAGTGGAAATTATCCTACAGTGTATTGCATACTTCCCGGGCTTTCTAACTTCCAGGGAAAAAAGTTTACCCTTTCTTGATGAGTCAAAATTCTTCCTTTGAGTATCAGATTTTTTCCTCTTCTGTATGGCAGTGCTTTCAAAGCCTGTCACAGTATGGAGTATTCTTTGTCCCTGTGTTGAATGACCCCAGACTGCTGTGTCTTCGAATTCCTGTAACTGTTTTCTGTGGATTATTTTTTGGGGGGTGGGGGGGTGTCTCCTTTTGCTTTCAGTTTTTGTTGCCAGTGGTGTGCCTGTGGCTGGCAGTTGCTGCTGTGTTGTTGTTGTTGCTGATTCTGATAAATAAAGATACTTATTTTGGGTGTGTGTGTGTATGTGTGAAAGAAAATATAGTCCATGAGTCATTGAGTGATGTGTATGGGCCTTAGTACATGGATTTTATAATTTTCAGATATTCAGTGCCTTATAAAATATCTGGTTCCAGAATGTCTGTCTATCAAACTATTTTGATATTTAGAGGCAGTGGGTGCAATCTGAAAAATTGGATGAAAATGTGTGCTTTTTATTTTTGGTTCCTTCTCTGGCCTTCATAGTTCTAATTAGGAGCCACCTTGCTGTGGTAAAGGATAAGGAACTCACACTAGTACCACAGTGGAACAGCTGCTGGCAGGGCTTCTTCAGTCCTGGTTGTTTATTCTCCCTTTTATCTTTCTCCTTCCCTGTCCGCTCCCCTTTTTTGGAATATATTCTCAATGCTTTATTTTTCTTCCTTTTGTACACTGTATAGCTTTCAGTGGTAATGTCATGGACTTTGATCTGATAAGCCTTGCTTGCAGCATTAAGCCTTTAAAAGTTGGTGACCCCTTTTGAAAGGTTCAGCATTGGTCGAGGGTTAAAAATAATTCCCACTACTTGAGTGATTTTTAAAAAATACCATATAGTTATTTTCATAAGATTTACAGTGATGTTTCTTGTGGCAGTTGACCAGTTCTAACTTTGGCAATTATATTTAGCCGTTAAATTTTCTCCTCCCTCTCCCCCACCCTCTCTCCGCCCTCATTTCCTTTGGATTTTTCATTTCCTTTCTTTGTTTACTGCACTCAAGCTCATGGTTGCCTGCATTTGTGTGGAATAAATGATTCATGTCCATAATTCGGCTCCTGAGAGATAAAAATTTTATGCAGTAATGTTATTATTGATTACGTTTCACGTGTTCCCTGTAACGTGCTCTGTGCAGCACCTCCAGGCATTTGCTCCCAGACTGAGTGCATATCTGAATGCTTTCTGAGATTCCTGATTTAGAGTTTGAGCGTTTAATCCGTCTACATCATAAGGCACGTTGTTAACTGGATGCTCTGTATCTTAACCAGAAAACTTTAATTTAACCTTTTTACGAAGGAGGGAGCAAACTTGGAAGGTCCCTGGTAACACACTGAGACATTTTGTATCCCACCAGTGATAGGCAGATTTAGCAGGTTAGAAATATATATACAAATTCATTGTATTGATTTCAAGACCACAATTTTTAAAAATACTTCTATTTAAGATTTTATTTATTCATTTTTAGAGAGAGGGGAAGAGAAGGAGAAAGAGAACGGGAGAAATATCACTGTGTGGTTGCCTCTCGCGCACCCAGAACTGGGGACCTGGTCTGCAACCCAGGTGTGTGCCCTGACTGAGAATTGAACTGGCAACCTTTTGGTTCGCAGCCCACGCTCAATCCACGGAGCTATACCAGCCAGGGCAAGACCACAATATTTGCATTAAACACATAGTATTCTGCCTTTTGTAGCCCAATTCCCCTTTGGTTACCTCTACACCCACCCTGCAACATTTATGCCTAATGCAACCTTTTGCCTATATCCATAGTCAAAATGAATGAAGCTTAACCTTGAAGTTGTTGAGTTATTTCAATTCTACTAGCAACAGCTTTTGTGGTTCACTAATGGAAATAGTCTGAGACTCTGGAGCAGAAAAATTGCAGTTGGGCGCCTCAGTAATGGATGCATTTGCTGCTCACAGTCCTCTTTGAGGCTAACGGAAGTGCACTGCCAGTGCTCTGTGCAGTGCCCTTGCCATCAATTTAATGACAGACATCCTAAAAAATCGTTTCTGCCTTGTTTGCAGTTTATTTCTGTAGGGCATATTTGTCAGCTTTGATTTTTCTCCTTTTCAGTGGTTTGTTATAATTGAGGATCTCATTGCAAAATAACTGAACTTTTCATTGATCACTTTGTATTCTTTTAGCAATGTGGACAACATTAGTTATTATACTTTAACTTTGAGGGGTTGGGTGTGTGTGCACGTTAAATCACTACCAGTATGTTAGAAAAGGGGAAGAAGAACTGGTACCAGAGACAGACCCTGAAGACCTAGGTTCCAGTCCTGGGCTGCCACTGACTAGTGTGGCTTAGCAATTCATTAACCTCTCTGTGCTTCAAGTTCCTAATCTTTGAAATGAGGAAATTGGACTAAATAATGTCTAATTCATTTCCTGATATAAAATTAGTTGTGCTTCTCTACATAGTAAAACACTCAGCTTGGTACTTCAGTAGTTTTATTTGTGGGGTCGGGGAGGGATTTAATATGGCATTCTCTTAATGCTCTTTTAATTGTATAATATATATTTTCTTGGAATTATTTCATATGCAAGTATACTGAAAAAAAATGGTTTTTCTTTTTCTTCCAGGACAGTGGCTTTGTGCATATTCATACTCCAATAATCACATCCAATGACTGTGAGGGCGCTGGAGAACTTTTCCAAGTTGAAGTAAGTCGTGCTTGCCACTTTGGGGGATGCACTGCTTTCTGACATTTTTCATCTGAGGGTTTGTTTTAAATTCAGTAAGAATTCTATGGGTAAACCATGACTAGAACCTGAGATTTTTTCAGTAGTAATCCTTAAAAAAAAATGTAGAAAATTCAAACTTCTCTGATTCCTGTCCTGTCAGCTATATTATTTAAAAGGAGTAGGTTTTCAGTTTAGTACTCCATTTGTTTTCTTATATAACTGTGAATTGGTGAACTGGAATAATTTGAAGAAATTAATAAAGATTCTAAGATATCTTTTGTGCAAATTCAACTCCCAGTTAATATTTTTGGATGTAAGTCATATTTTAAAAAATAAGTCAGCCCTGGCTGGTGTGGCTCAGTGGATTGAGTGCTGGCCTGCAAACCAAGGGGTCACTGGTTCGATTCCTGGTCAGGGCCTGGTCCCTGGTCAGGGGCATGCAAGAGGCAGCCACACATTGATGTTTCTCTCCCTCTCTTTCTCCCTCCCTTCCCATCTCTCTAAAAATAATAAGTAAATAAAATCTTTTTTTAAAAAGATCAGTTAAAATAGAAAAGTATGCATGTGACTATTTTCTTTTTCAAAGTCTTTAAAAAAACAAAACAAAACATTTTTCATAAGAAAGATTCATGCTCTAGCTGAGCGGCTCAGTTGGTTGGAATGTTGTCCCATACACCAAAAGGTTACTGGTTGGATTCCTGGTCAGGACACATACCTAGGTTGTGGGTTCAATCCCCACTTGGCGCACATACAGGAGGTCCCCAATGTTTCTCTCTCATATCAATATTGCTCTTCCTCTCTCTCCTTGCCTTCCTCCCCCCTCCCTCCCTCTCTAAAACCAATAAAACATATCCTCAGATGAGGATTAAAAAAGAAAGAAAAAGAAATCATTTATGTTCTGTACACCTCATGAAGGCTCTTATTGTAATTCTTTATATTCAGCAACCATTTTTTGAACTCTTAATAAGTTCAGGCATTGTCAGCTTGCCCTTGTAGGTAATTTAAAATTTACTAGTTTTTCTTACTTGTAGGCAGTTGAAGCCTTTTCATTTACCAATTTGCCAGCCTGCTTAAACTCATTGGATAGTAGTGTAGTAGTTTACAGGAAATGTATTTTGATAAGTAGTGCTTTTTGTATTTCTTTCATTTATTCACTGACTTCTTCCTCCTCCTCCTCCTCCACCTCCTCTTCCTCCTTCTTCCCTCTCTTTCTCTGTCTCTTTGTTTCTGTCTCTCTCTCTTTCTTTCTCTTCACCTGGGGACTTTTTTTCCCCCATTGGTTGTAGAGACAGAGGAAAGGAGAGAGAGAAGTATCAATTGCCTCCCAAAAGTTCCCAGACTGAGAATCAGATTGTACATGTATGTACCCTAAGGGGGGTTGGGAATCCAGGATTGAACCTGAAATCTAGGATGTGCCCCCATGGAGAATTGAATTGCAACCTTTCGGTTATGGGCTGGCGCTCCAGCCAACTGAGCGACACCGGCCAGGGCCACTGATTTCTTTAAGAACTCAAGATTCTTTAAATTGGGTTGATTCCACTGAATGATAAGACTTATATATAACTGCTCTCTCTGGTTTAGTATGTTTTTACTTTTGTAAAATTTTAACTACAGTATTATATTAGTTTCAGGTGTACAACTTACTGTTTAGACATTTACATAATTTTGTGGTGATCACGCTGATAAGTTCAGTACCCATCTGACACCATATATAGTTATTGCAACATTATTGACTGTATTCCCTATGCTGTACTCGACATCCCCATTACTATTTTTATAACTGGCAATTTGTACTTCGTAGCCCCTTCACTTTTTCACCCAACTTTACAGCCACGCCCCCGCATGCAACCATCTTTTTGTTCCTGTATCCGTGAGTTTGTTTCTGTTGTTTGTGTATTTTTGATTCAACATATAAGTGAAATCATATGGTATTTGTCTTTCTCTGTCTGCCTTATTTCACTTAGCATAATATCCTTTAGATTCATCCATATTGTTGTAAATGGCAAGATTTTCTTTTTTATGGTTCATTTTCCATTGTATGTATGCACCACATCCTCTTTATCTAATTATCTGTCAGTGGACACTTAGGCTGATTCCGTATCTTGGCTGTTATAAATAATGCTGCAGTGAACATAGGGGAGCATATGTCTTTTCAAATTAGTGTTTGGAGTTCTTCAGATAAATACCCAGAAGTGGAATGCCTGGGTCATATGTTAGTTCTGTTTTTAATTTTTTGAGGAACCTCCATACTGTCTTCCACAGTGGCTGCACAAATTATCAATCCCACCAACACAGCACTAGGCTTCCCTTTTCTCCTCATCCTCACCGACACTTGTTTGTTGATTTATTGATGAGAGACATTCTGACAGGTGTGAGGTGATATCTAATTTGTATTTCTCTGATGATTCAGTGGCATTAAGTATCTTTTCATATGTTTATTGGCCATCTGGATATCCTCTTTGGAGAAATGTCTGTTCAGGTCCTTTGCCCATTTTTTAATTGGATTGTTTTTTGTTTTGTTTTGTTTTGGTGTTAGACTGTATGAGTTCCTTATATATTTTGCATATTAACATCTTATTGGGTATATCATTGGTGAATATCTTCTTCCATTCAGTAGGATGTCTTTTTGTTTTGATTTCTTTCACTGTGCAAAAACTTTTTAAATTTGATATAGTCCCATTTGTTTATTTTTTTTCTTTTGTTTCCCTTGCTGAGAAGACATCCAAAGAAATACATATTCTACCAATGAGGTCAAAGACTTTACTGCCTTTGTTTTCTTCTAAGAGTTTTATGTTTTCAGGCCTTAAATTTATATCTTTAATCTATTTTGAATTTAGTCTTGTATATGGTGTAAGAAAGTGATCCAGTATCATTTTTTTGTATGTATCTGTCCAGTCTTCCTAACACCATTTATTGAAGAGACTGTCTTTATCTCATTGTATATATACTTGCCTCCTTTGTCATAGATTAATTGACCATATAGGCATGGTTTTATTTCTGGGCTGTCTATTATGTTCCATTGATCTAGATGTCTGTTTTTATGCCTCTACCATACTGTTTTGATTACTATAGCTTTGTAGTATAGTTTGATAACAGGTAGCTTGGTATCTGCAACTTTGTTTTTTCTCAAGATTGTTTTGTTTATTCAAGGGCTTAAGTAGCTCTATATTTTAGGATTACTTGTTATAGTTTTGTGAAAAAATGCCATTGGTATTTTGATAGGGATTTCATTGAATCTGTAGACTGCTTTGGTTATTATGGACGTTTTAATGATGTTAATTCTTCCTATCCATGAGCACAGTGTATGTGTCCATTTATTTGTATCCTCATCAGTTTCCTTCTTTAATAACTTATATTTTTCCAAGTACAGGTTTTTCACCTCATGGTTAAATTTATTTCTAGGTATTTTATTCTTTTTGATGCAATTATAAGTGGGATTGTTTTCTTAATTCCTTTTTCCAAGAGTTCATTATTGGTGTATAAAAATGCAGCCTATTTCAGAGTATTAATTTTGTATCTGTCTATTTTACTGAATTCATGTATTCTGATAGTGTTTTGATGGAATCTTTAGAGTTCTTTCTATGTAGTATCATGTCATTTGCAAGTAATGACAGTTTTATTTCTTCTTTTCCAACTTGTATGCCTTTATTTTTCTTTTCTTGTCTGATTATTGTGGCTAGGACTTCCAATACTATGTTAAATAAAAGTGGTGAGAGTGGACATCCTGTCTTGTTCCTGATCTTAAAGAAAAAACTTTTAACTTTTCACCATTGAGTGTGACGTTACCTGTGGATTTGTCATAAATGGCCTTTATTATGTTTAGATATGTTCCCCCTATTCCTACTTTGTGAGAGTTTTTATCAAAAACAGATACTGGATTTTGTTAAATGTTTTTTCTGCATCTCTTGATATTGTCATATGATTTTTTATCCTTTATTTTGTTTATGTGCTTATCACATTAATTTATTTGCACATATTGAACTAGTCTTGCATCCTGGGAATAAATCCCATTTGATCATAGTGTATGATCTTTTTAATATATTGCTAAATTTATTAATATTTTTTGAGGACTTTCGCATCTATGTTCATGTAGGATATTGGTCTATAATTTTCTTTTTTTATAGTGTCATTGTCTAGTTTTGGTATCAGGGTAATGAGGGCCTCATAAAATAAGTTTGGGAACCTTCCCTGCTCTTCAGTTTTTTTGGGATAAAATAAAAAGGATAATTATTCTTTAAATGTTGGTAAAATTTAACTGTGAAGCCATATGGTCCAGGACTTTTGTTTGTTGGGAGTTTTTCAATTAGTAATTCTATTTCACTAGTAGTTATCAGGCTGTTCCAATTTTCTCTTTCTTCCTGATTCAGCCTTGGAAGATTGTATGTACCAGGAATTTATTTTTTCCTGGTTATCCAATTTTTGGCAGATACTGTTAGCCTGGTTTTCCAGGGGTGTTCCCTGTATGAGTCGTGTGTTCTCTCCTGTTGTAGTTGGGCCTCAATTGCTGTTGGCACAGCAGTGTCTGGGATTGACCCTTGGGCTGACTGGCCGTGACTACAGCAGGTAAGCTGCTGTGTGGGGACTGAAGTGGGAGTCACTGTAGCAGGACTCTGGTGCTGAGTCCATTCTTAAGGGGGGTTGTTTGTGGAGCTGGTTGGGTGTGTTGGCCACCAGATATGTTGGCTGTGGAGCCTTTTGGGATAGGCTCAGGTGCAGACCAAGGTCAGCCTATGTTTGTGTTCAGTTGGTGCTGCCTCATGGACTCTACAAAGTGGTCTATAGTCGGTTGCCACCTGTTCTGGGTTTGAAGGTACTTGGGAGAAGCTATGTTGTGAACCAAGGCCAGTTGCCACTAGAGGTAGGCTTAGCACCTTTTGGCAGGTACCATGATAAGACCTGAAGGCAACAGGCACTTAATGCCAGGCTTGTGGCTGCTTAGTAGAAGCTATATTTCAAGCCAATACTGGCTGCAGCTTTTG